CAAGGCAAGGCAAGGCAAGGCAAGGCAAAGGCAAGGCAGGCAAGGCAAGGCAAGGCAAGGCAAGGCAAGGCAAGGCAAGGCAGGGCAAGGCAAGGCAAGGCAAGGCAAGGCAAGGCAAGGCAAGGCAAGGCAAGCAAGGCAGGCAGGCAAGGCAAGGCAAGGCAAGGCAAGGCAAGGCAAGGCAAGGCAAGGCAAGGCAAGGCAAGGCAAGGCAGGCAAGGAAGGCAAGGCAAGGCAAGGCAAGGCAAGGCAAGGCAAGGCAAGGCAAGGCAAGGCAAGGCAAGGCAAGGCAAGGCAAGGCAAGCAAGGCAAGGCAAGCAAGGCAAGGCAAGGCAAGGCAAGGCCAAGGCAAGGCAAGGCAAGGCAAGGCAGGCAAGGCAAGGCAAGGCAAGGCAAGGCAAGGCAAGGCAAGGCAAGGCAAGGCAAGGCAAGGCAAGGCAAGGCAAGGCAAGGCAAGGCAAGGCAAGGCAAGGCAAGGCAAGGCAAGGCAAGGCAAGCAAGGCAAGGCAAGGCAAGGCAAGGCAAGGCAAGGCAAGGCAAGGCAAGGCAAGGCAGGCAAGGCAAGGCAGGCAAGGCAAGGCAAGGCAAGCAAGCAAGGCAAGGCAAGGCAAGGCAAGGCAAGGCAAGGCAAGGAAAGGCAAGGCAAGGCAAGGCAAGGCAAGGCAAGGCAAGGCAAGGCAAGGCAAGGCAAGGCAAGGCAAGGCAAGGCAAGGCAAGGCAGGCAAGGCAAGGCAAGGCAAGGCAAGGCAGGCAGGCAAGGCAAGGCAAGGCAAGGCAAGGCAAGGCAAGGCAAGGCAAGGCAAGGCAAGGCAAGGCAAGGCAAGGCAAGGCAAGGCAAGGCAAGGCAAGGCAAGGCAAGGCAAGGCAAGGCAGCAAGGCAAGGCAAGGCAAGGCAAGGCAAGCAAGGCAAGGCAAGGCAAGGCAAGGCAAGGCAAGGCAAGGCAAGGCAAGGCAAGGCAAGGCAAGGCAAAAGGCAGGCAGGCAAGCAGGCAAGGCAAGGCAAGGCAAGGCAAGGCAAGGCAAGGCAAGGCAAGGCAAGGCAAGGCAAGGCAAGGCAAGGCAAGGCAAGGCAAGGCAAGGCAAGGCAAGGCAAGGCAAGGCAAGGCAAGGCAAGGCAAGGCAAGGCAAGGCAAGGCAAGGCAAGGCAAG